AGGCTCAGGAAAGACTTCTGTTCACAACCCTGACCTAGGATCGCATCCTTTCTCTACTGCATTGGTCCCTCCCCGCTCCTCTGCTGACTCTCCCCGCGGGCCGCCCCTTCGGTTACTTCCTTCCGGCCCCTCATTACAAGGCCCCTTCTGACAATCCGTGTGGATGGAACAGCAGCAGGTGTGCCCCGAGCACAGCCCCAGAGGGGCCGCCCGCCCGCCTTACCATGCGTTCCTGGCTCACCTCACCCGTGTGATCGCACGAAATGAGGACGTGCTCTTCAGGCACCTCTTCTGTCCTCTCTCTCCTGTGGCGCCCTCCCTGAACTCACTGACAGCACAGTCATTTTCCACTGGCTAAACGTCTACACCTAACTCACTTTTCTCCACAAACAGGATCCCGCTGTGATGAGAGCACCTGGCAGGCTTTGCCAACCACGTCACAGAGGTCTGCCTTCCTTACTGGTCAGTTTTACTTTAATTTTTAATTGAGTGTTATTTCATTTTCATTGTTTCTCATTTACAGTCAGTCACAAAGTTTCCTTTCAAAATATGTTAATCCTGGGTGGATGGACCTGAAGAACATTATGCTAAGTGAAATAAACCAGTCAGGGAAAGACAAATGCCATATGACTTCACCTATATGTGGAATCTAATGAACAAATTGAATTAACAAGCAAAATAGACGCATTCACAGATGGAGAGCAGGCTGACAGCTAGAGGGGGAGGGGGCAGTTGAGGGCTGGAGGGGCTGAGCCAAAAGGAAAAAGGACTCAAGGACATGGACAAACAGTGGGGTGAGTGTGGAGAGGAGGGCACTAGAAGGGGGTAAATGGTAATGGAAAAATACAATTAAAAAGTTTAAAAACATGTTAATCACGTGAGTCAGGTTTAGGAACGTCAATGAATAAGTGATAGTAGTTGGCTATGGCAAAGTCTGTGAAAAGAGGAACTGAATGTCTAAAATCCAGGAAGCAGGGGTCCCAGTGGAAAAAAATGAAGAAATGAAGACAGGAGGGGTGGAGAGAAGGGGGCGAAACGCTACGCGCTGGAGTGATGGAGTCAGCAAGGCTCCAGGCGGTGGCCGCAGCCACGGGGGCGCAGCCTCCAAAAGCCGGGCGCTGTCCCGCCGACTCTCTGCCCTCCGCAGAACGGCCAGGGCGCCCGCCCCCGCGAGCGCTCCTCCCCGGGAGCCCGTGTCTGCTCTTCCCCAGCACAGCGCCCCGTCTGGCAGCTGCGGGGCAATGCTCACAGCCAGGGACGGGTCTCAGGAGCGTCCCTGCTGCGCACACAGGCTGGCGCGGTCTCTCTCCTCCAGGCTTCCTCTCGGCCGGGCCCAGCGGACTGCCTGGCTGGAAAGGGGCGCTCGCTACCTGCTGGGCCAATACTGAATGGATGCTGGCGGTGGCTTTTTACAACAGGCGAGGAACACGGATGAAAAGGAGAGAGAAGAGCACAGGGGGTCTGGTGGGTGCACGAACTGCACCTGCGGACAGGGCCCACACACAGCGTGAAACTGGGGCAGGAGCCCTGCAGAGGTCAGCGCTCGTCGGTCAAGCCACTTGCCCTCTGCGCCTCTCAGGCTGAGTTTTCTCAACGAGCTCCTTGCTTCTTTTCTAAAACCTGTAAGGAATGTTAAAACACTGTCCCCTCAAATGCTCACTCTTCCTAAATTTTTTCATGTGCTTTTCCAACCCTAAGCCTCTACACTGGGGTCCCGCTCTCTAGAATTTTCTTACCTCTAAGCCTGGAAAAATGTCTGTGTATTTATTTTCACAAGTAATAGTCAAGTACAGACTCATAAAAATTCAAACACAAAAGTATAATCTAGAAAAAGATGAAAGAGACCTTTCCCTATTTCTACTTCCTTATCCAGAGGTAACATAATAAACAGTTTGATATTATATATCCAGTACTTTTAAAAATGAATTTTTATAACATACAAGTAAAAATATATAGTTTAGGTTTATTAACATGAACAATGGCATTTATAACGTAAATACGAGTATATGCTTGAAAACATGTGCAGAATTTTTCTCACACACATTAAAGTCTGGCAAGTCTTGTATTTTGGTGGATTCTGTAAAACCGTGACACAGAAACACTTTGCTAATCCCTGCTCCTGTTAGTGCGGGTGCTGGCACCCCCTCCATGTGATCTCTTTGACACTGGGTGTTGCCCGTGACTTCGGTTTTGCCCATCTGTTGCAGGGAAAATCGTGTTTCATTAATACAAGGTTGACTATTACATGTTTACGGGACATCTGCATTTCTTCTGCGAATTACATGTTTATAAAAATAAATATAAATTACCCCTTATAAATTGCTTTTGCCCCTTTTCCCTTGGTGTATTTTTCTTCTTCTAATTGATGTGTGGGAATTCTTTTACAATAAAGAGTAGTTCTCTGTGGTTATGTGTGTTGCCATCTCTCCCTTGCCTGTCTTTCAATGTACCAAGTTTTAAAATGTGTGTAGAGTCAAATGTGTCATTCTTTCTCTGTCTCCCAAGATTATGCAAAAGGTTGTCTAAGGCCATAAAGAAAAACAAAGACACATTGACTCCGTATAAGAAATATATAATGCACAATTATATATAAAAAATATACATCAAATACTCTATATACATATCTATCTATATACATCAAATACTTTTTCCTGTATTTTTTTAAATTTAGCTTTTACTGCCTTGCCCCAAAAGCCCACAGAGCAGATACCATTACTGTCCCCATTTTACAAACAGTAAGACTAAGGAATGCATAAGTTAAGACAGCAATCTGCCTCCAAAGCCCAGACTCTTAACCAGAGCTTTATTTTGACTCCATATTACTCAATATAACTAATTCTCTCTACATAGTATGAAATAGCAAGAATGAATGCAATGTGATAATGACGCAGAAATAGTTAGCTCCGATAAATACAACAGATAATTCAGAAATTTCATTTAACTGAGAAAAGCTAAAGGTATAAAAGGACAAAATTATGAAATATTAGAGAACAAAGAATGCTCATAAATGATATTGGAAAACTGTTTAGCATTATTTTTTTAAAGTCAGTTTAAATCCACTTTTCATAACATCCACCAGGGTAAAACACTAGAAGGAAAAATCCCTTAAAAGAGGATTAAGAAGAGTTATAAAAAAATGGACAAATTTGGGTATGTAAAAATATTAAATGGCTACATATTTCTAAAAACCTCATTTTAAAAAGGTATACAATAGTCTGGGGAAAATGATGGAAATATGGCAGATAAATTTTACTAAAAACACATAAGTTAGCAAAAAAATAAAATGGCATTAAGAGTTTAACAGATAAATGAGCAAAAGAGAAAGTATAACTTGTAAACAAATATGTAAAAAAAGTTCAAACTATATTCAAAGAAATGCAAAATTATAAAAAAGGGCTTCTGTTTTGCCTCTTTTTTTTTTTTTTTTTAATGATACTGTCATTGGTGGAATGGATAAGGCTAAACTGCTAGTCTTACACAGTGTGCTGACAGAAAGCAACTTGGCAACATATACCAAGCACCATTAAAATATTCATGTCCCTTTTCCTAATAATCCTGTGTCTGAGAAACTATTCTACAGATATAATCCAAAAACATGAAAAAAATTACATGAATAAGATAGTTACTGAAGTATTATTTATAATAGCAAAAAACAAGGAAACAAAAAAGAAGAGCAACTCAATTTTCAAGAACAGGGAATAGTTAAGTAATTTATGGAACAATCACTCACAAGAACATTAAAAACAAGTACACTCTTAAAAATCATTGTGACTCTGATAACATAAAGAACATTATGTTATAATATCTAGTTGTACAGGTAGAAAGAAATCTAGAAATGTTAAATTGTTTTGGGGCATGGGATTGACTCACTATTTTCTGTAATTTCTAAACTTGATTTGAAAAGGCCCAGGCTCCGATCCCAGCTGCACCACGCCACCACTGACCAGACCGTGCCTGGCCAAGCCCCCTCGCCTTTCGATGGCCGTTCCCCCGCCTGATCAGTGAAGACGGTAATTGGAACCACTTCATGGGACTACTGTGAAATTCAAACGAGAGAATGCTCGTGAAGAACTCCACTGCTGTACCTGCCACACAGCAAGCAGTTAAAAATGCTATTTTTACCATTAAAAACATTTACCGTGTTTTAAAAACAAAATTGAAATGAGGGAAAAAGTATTTCACGTGGGGTGTTTTTTTTCAATTGCAAGTTTAGTATTGTTAATTTTGACTTCCTCTACTTTTGCGTGTTTCTCCTAGTAAGAACAGACAACACTTACACAAAAACTCACTTGGCAAAGGAAAGATTAAAGGAAGTGAAACGGCTACTATAAACCAGAACCGCGTAAAAGCAGCAAGTCTATGGAACTGAGCTGTGAAGGAACAAGCGGAGCCATATTAGCGAGGACTGAAGTACAAGCAGCAGAAGCGTATCTGTATCTTTGACTTCTAATGTGGGGGGGGGGGGAATCACACTTATTAAGTGAACTTAAAAGACAGTCTTACTATAGGACTGAGCTAAATGTTTCATTCTAATTAGAAATTGGCTCAGTGGAGAAAGGAAATAAAAACCCCAAGCCTAATTTCTAGAAAATATGGTGGTAAAGAGACATTTCAAAGGAGTTTGAGCCCCTTGCTGGAGAAGCAAGGGTGGGACAAAATACTGCTTACACAGAAGCCTTCTAATAAGCTACTTCCGAGAAAAGCCTCTATCTTTGTCATAGCTTTGAAATTCTGCCACCTAAGCCTCAGAAGCACAATGTTTGGGCCAGATATCGAGCTCTGGGACACTATCAGGCCCTCTGCGAGAGGCCAGAGCACACGCCTAAGTGCTGACCTTCAAGGGGCAAAGGCTCTCTAGAACCCTCTCCAGGGCTAAGGACCCGTCCAGTGGGCAGTCCTCTGTTTGACATTGTACCTAAAGCAGGAGACTGTCTCCTCCCAACAGAGCAGCTCCAAGACTTTCCATCCCCATCTTCAGTAATAACCAGCTATGTACTTACTGCAAAACCTCTGCTTCTCGTGCTCTTCGGAGCCGATGACCTCAATCTGCAAGCCCGCTGCTCTATTCTGGGGTCTGGTGCTGGCCGGGAAGGAAACCACACTCAGGAGACCAAGCAGCGAGCACTGGAGCAATGCTTCACTCAGGAAGCAGGCGGGCTCTGCTCCCCAGGGCCTCCGGCAGCCTCTCCCTCTCTCTCCCTCCCCCACCACACACACACATATACACACTCACACACAGTGCAAAATCGTTTCTATCTTACTGACTCCTGAACACATAATGTGGATCTCTCAGAAACATAAGGATTTAAGATGTACACTGACTTAGTTTCTTGCTGACTGCTCCCCAAGATATCAAACAGAAAAAAAAGCGGGGGGGAAAAAGGCAATGTGAGCTTCAGAGGCGAGTCTGCCCTGAAGCCTCAGGGCCCCTCACTGCCATGGCCTGGGAGTGTTCTGGGTGGCATGGGGAACTCAGATAATGATCAGGAAGCAACTCTGATAAGCTGACTCAAGGGACCTCAAGGGTAATGTATCTTGATCTCTAAGCCTCTGGTAATTTGTTGCAATTTCTTTTTCATTCTAAATAAGTAGTTTCATACCTAATTTTGAATTCAGAGAGCTCCAAAATTACATGAGCACTTTTACAAATCCTAGGGTCCTGTCTGGTGCCACTACAGGTGGCCTATAAGCCCCAGTGACAAGGAGATCTGCAACAGGGAGCAAACACACTGCACAGAAAAAAAAATGGAAGCAATTTTGTGCAGGTAAACAAGCTACATGTGCTACGGCCACACTCCCCACTCACTGGAGGCGTCAGGGCTCGGCTGAACTCAGCACCGCCCCAGGTTGCCGGATAACAGGTATGAAAAGCAGCCACATGGCTCTTACAAGGCAGACGGTGTGAGTTGGCAGGGCCTCCATGACCCTGAGCCCCTGGGGCCCTTCTGATCACAGACGACAGTGGGGAGCTGTCCTCCCGCAGCTTGGCATTGGCCTGCGCCTGCAGGGGTGTTATGACGACTGTGGCCCTGGCCCCCCGGCAAAGGCCACCGCTGCTGGTGGCTCTCCCGCTTTGCCTTGAAGAAGGCAAGAGGCATAATGCGTGGGACCTGCTTTCCCTGCGGAACACCCGTCCTCTTGGGAAGTGGGGCATACAGGAACCTAACTTACCGGGGTGTTCCTCCAGAGTGTGGCACCATGGCACAGACACGAGGTGGCACTGGTGTGGCCCTGCAAGGGACAGAGCTTCAGCCCGACCTTATTTAAGCAAAAGAGCAAATTTATTGGCTTGACTAACCGGAAAGTCTCGGGATGGATTCAAGCTGGCTGTACACCCGCGAGGCCTATGGGGCCACACATCAGTGGGGATCTGTTTTCCCTGATCTCTCAGCTCTGCCTGCCTAAGTTCGCTTCGTTCCAACAGTGCTGCTCTTGGGACGGGAAAGCCTTTCCCAGGAGCATTCCAGGAGGAGAGGTCTTTAGAACTCAAGGTCTCAGAAGGGCAACACTCCTCAGGAAAGAACCCAACAATGATACACCGTCCAACCCGGTGGCCAGGGAGAGGTGCCTGGGTGACTGGCACCCACTCATTATAAGAGCAGTTCACAAAGGCAGAAACTGCAAGACAAAAAAGTAACAAGCTGGTCACCCACTAGTGCACTGGATTACTAAGCCTTTCATGTGATCTTACCTTACTCCTCCAATTGGACTGTAAATCTATTGCTAGAAGGATATACACAGAACATTAACAGTGCCTATGTCTGGAATGTGGGTCATTCATTTTATTTTTTAAGATTTTATTCATTTATTTTTAGAGCGAAGGAAAGGAGGGAGAAAGAGAGAGAGTGAAACATGGATTCAAGAGAGAAACGTCGATTGGTTGCCTCTGGACAGGACCTGCACCCCAGGCGCGTGCCTGACCGGGAATCAAACCAGTGGCGCCTCCCTTTGGAGAACAACACCCAACCAACTGAGCCACGCCAGTAAGGGCGGATCATTTATTTTTTAAATTCACATTGTAGCTTCTAAATTGTCTCAAACAAGTAGATATTAAATTGTGTAATAAAATAATACAATAAAATAAGTTATTTCATGCTAAACAAGCCCTATATACAAAGCAAAAAATACATAAAAATGTGTATGAATAAACCTGGAAGTCACTCTAAAAAAATCTAGAACATTTTACTGAATGACAAAAAAGAGGACTGAATGAAAAAAATATACTGTGTGGTTTCAATTAGATATTCATTCTACACAAAATAATTTTATAAATGTGTTGTAATTCCAATAAAAATTCTAATAGGACTAGAAGTGTGGTAGAATAATTAATTTTTCTCTACAGAAGAAAATCATTTTTTTAACTTCCCTTGAGGACATGCTTATTGATTTTAGAGAGAGGGGAACGGAGGGAGAGAGAGGGAGAGAAACATTGATTGGCTGCTGCTCATAAGCACCCCAACCAGGGACAGAACTCGCAACCCAGGCATGTGCCCTGACCAGGAACTGAACCTGCAACTTTTTGGTTTACAGGACAACGGTCTAACCAACTGAACCACACAAGCCAGAACTAGAAGAAACTTCTTGGGGGGAAAAAGAAAAAGTAATGAAAGGAATTTGTACTGCTAGAAATAAAAATAGACCAGCAAAGTAAAATAATTACAATGGTATGGTTAAGGAGTAGAAAGATCCTCAGTGTATCATAACAAGGCCCCAAAATAAAAATTCAGGTTATGATAAAGATGAAATGACTAATCTGAAGGTTAAAAGTAGATTTTTTAAAGTATCATTGGGAAAATTGGCTAATCATTTCAAAAAAGAAAAAAGACTCCTACCTCACACCCTGTACCCAAATGAATGCTGAGGAAATAAAGATTTAAGTGGAGAAAAAAAGCATTGTAAGAACTAGAAGAAAATAGAGGAGATTATACATATAATCAAGGTGAAAAAGGCCTCTCAACCCCACATGCAGGGGCAGACTACATAAAGAAAAAATAGATCTGACTACTTGAAAGTCAAATTCCTCTGCAAATAAAAAATAGTATAAATAAAATGTAAATACCAATGATAAGACAAGACAAACATCTGAGCATAACCTTTGGTTCAGTTATTCCATTTGTAGGAATGCATCCTATGAAAAAGCCACGAATGAATGCACAGCTATATGTGCAAGCTATAAGCTTATCTTTGATTATAACAATGACAATGAAGGAAACAAAAGTCTAGTTGCTTAGATTATGGTACATCCACATAATTAAAGATTATGCAGCCATTAAAAGTGACACTGTATCAGTGTTCCTTATGATATAGATGCAAAAATCCTCAACAAAATAACCACCAAACCAAATTTAGCTACCTATATAAAGGATTATACACCATGACCAAGTGGGATTTATTTTGGAATTCAAGGTTGGCCCAACATATTAAAATCAATGTAATATACTGTATATAACAGAATAAAGGACAAAACCACATACTCATCTCAAGAGATGCAGGAAAAGCATCTTAGAAAATCTGCACTTTCCTGATGTCAACACTCAACAAACTAGGAATAAAGGGGAATTCCTCAGCCTTATAAAAAGCAACTACAACACACCCTAGCACCTGAAATTATACTTAATGGTGAAATCTGAAAGTTTTTCCCTAAGAATAGAAACAGGATGAAGATCCCTCTGCTTTCACCACTTTTAGTCAACATCGTACTGGAGTCTTTAGCTGAGAAAATTAGACAAAAAAAAAGAAGAAAGAAAAGACAGTCAATTGGTAAGAAAGTAATACTTTCTTTATTGGCAGATGGCATGATCTTATATGAAGAAAATTCTAAAGTATATACAATAAAACAGCTAATAAACTTGTTCAGCAAGGTTGTAGGATATAAAAATCAATTTTATTTCTATATCCTTGCAATGAACAATTAAAATATATTTTTAAAAAACCTATTTATGACAGCATCAAAAAGAATAAAATACTTAAACATATATTTAATAAAATATGTGCAAGAGTTGTACAATAAAAACTACAAAATATTGAAAAACTAAGGAAGGCTTAAATAAATGGACAGACATCCATGTTCATCCATTGTAAGCCTTAAGGTGGCAATGCTCCTCAAACTATCTATAGATCAACCCTATCAAAATTCCAGTTGCAATTTTTACAGAAATTTGCAAACTAATTCTATAGTATAACTCTATGGAAATGCACAGAACCCAGAATAATAAAAATAATCTTGAAAAAGCATATTAAAGTAGGACTCACATATCACAATTTCAAAACCTATAAAGCTTCAGCAATCAAGAACTGTGTGGCAACAGCAAAAATGTAGACATACATGGTGTGAAAAAAGTAGGTTTGGAACTGTGAGTATACAAAATAGAGTTTATTCTTGTCTTATTATTTATTAATTATTGTATTATTTCCATACCACCTGGAAACCTACTTTTGTCCCACCTTGTATAAATCAATAGAGTAGAATCGAGAGTACAGAAATGAGCACCTACATTTATGGGCAGCCGATTGCAAAGACAATTCAATGGGGAAATAACAGTCTTCAACAAATGGTGCTGGGACAACTGGATATCCACATGTAAAAGAATGAAGTTAGGCTCCTCCCTCAAGCCACATATGAAAACTACCTGGAAGATACGAGCGCTAAGAATATAAAACTCTTAGAAGAAACACAAGTGCCCTGACCAGGTGGCTCATTTGGTTGGAGCATTGTCCCATACTCCAAAACGTTGCATGTTCAATCCCCAGTCAGGGCACATACCTAGGCTGTGGGTTTGACCCCTGGTCAGGGCATGTGTGGGGAGGTAACGGATCAATGTTTCTCTCTCACAAAAATCAATCTCTCTCTCTCTCCCCTCCTTCTCCCTCTCACCCTTTCTCTCTCTAAATCAATAAACATATCCTTGGTTAAGGATTAAAAAAATAGAAACATAAGTGAAAAACTTAACTTTGGATTAAGCAATGTTTTCTTAGATATTACATCAAAGATACAAGCAACCAAAAAAAAAAAAAACTCAGATAAATTGTACTTCATAAAAATTAAACACTTCTCTGCATCAAAGGACACTATCAAAAGAGTAAAAAGATAACCCACAAAATGGCAGAAAATATTTGTAAATTATATATCTAAT